TCCCGCGACGCATGACGGCGGTTGAGGGGCGGACTGCTGACAGCCGTACAAAACGTGACACATCACTTAAACGCACGTTCACGTGCATGGCTAAAAATGCTCACCGTTTTTTCAGATGGATGGACAGGGTGTTATGCAAATGGTTACAAGTTACAGTTTGCAACCCGAACCCCTCCATTCAGAGGAGTTATAAAAACGGTCCTGTCATCATCAGACTAAATCTCATCCCTAAAGGCAGAAGTCCAAGTGTTTCTGATAAAAGTAATCTCCAGAGCCCCCCAACGGAGAGAAAACACAGGGTTTTTACTCACGGATCGGAGGGATGAGACCGTTTTTTGGACCTGTTGTACATCATCCAGAGAACGCATATCGATCATCCTAAAACACAGAGACGAGAGTTTTTGTTTTACCTGGATGATCTGCTGCTCCTGTCACTCCAGACAGGAGGCGCTGATGCAGGATCAGGTGTTGACATCACACCTGTTAAATCTGGGCTTCGCCATAAATTGGAAGGAAGCTCGATTTTCCCGGCCCAGACAATTGTTTATCTGGGAGTGGAATTAAATTCAATCACCATGAAAGCTCGTTTATCAAACGAGATTCGACACTTTTAAAAGTCAACTCCGCCACATAAGACCTGGCAAGTGATAACAGCTGTCTCCGTCATGAAGCTGTTGGGAATGATGTCATCAACTCACACAGTGGTTCCGCTGGGTTTGTTACACATGAGACGCCTCCAGAGGTGGTTTGCGCGTCTGCGTGTGGATCCAGTAAAACGAAAACGACGGATGTTCATTGTTCATCCCTCTGTGAGAGCAGACCTCCGACTCTGGGGAAACACTCTGGTTCTGTCAGAGGGAGTTCCCGTCAGCAGACCCACGTCACACGTGTCAGCCTTCACGGACGCGTCACTGTCAAGTTGGGGGGGGACATGCCTATCCCAAGCAGTAGGGGCGCTGTGGCCCCACCACACATCAGCCCACATCAATGTTTTGGAGTGTCGCACAGTACTGAATGTGATTCAACACTTGCTCCCGTGCTACAGAATCAACACGTGTTGATTCACACAGACAACATGATGACTGCTGCGTACATAACCACCAAGGGGTGTGCGTTCAGCCCAGATGTTACACATTGCGTGAAAGCTACTGTGTTGGGCTCATCAAAACCTGCTCTCCATCAGAGTGGTTTACATATCCGGTGTTCTGTACAGAGGGGCAGATGTGATGTCCAGGGGCGGCCCACGTCACGCGGACTGGACCCTCCATCCAGATCTGATGTTTTCAGACGTGGCAGAAGTTGGCAAAGCAGATGTGGACCTGTTTGCGACGCGAGAGAACGCTCAGTGTCAACTATGGTTTTCCCTGAGCCCGCGAGACGATCCATCGCTGGGGGTGGATGCATTTGCTCACAGCCCGTGGCCCAAAACGCTTCTGTACGCGTTTCCCCCACCTCCTCTGTTTTTACGGTTCTGAACCGAGTTCAGGAGGAGGGATTGACAGCTCTCCTGGTGGCTCCCGAGCGTGTGAACGCACCATGGTTCCCAGTCCTGCAACGTCTGTTGTCGGGTCGACCGTGGAAACTGCCATGGATGGAGGATGCTCTCCTTCAAGCAGGAGGAGCGATCAGGAGTTACCCAGAAATAGGTCGGCACCTGTGGGTCTGACCGCTGAGCGGTTCCGCTTAGAGAGGATGGGTCTTCCTCAGGAGATAGTGTGCACAATTCAAGATTCACGTGCTGCATCTTCCAGCTCTGTACACATCAAAGGGGACGGCTTTTCAGCGCTGGTGTACAGAGAAAGGTTTAGAGGCCACCTCATGCCTTTTAGGCGGCGTGTTGTTTTTCTACAACAGCTGATGGATAGGGAGTTGGCATTCAGTACGTTTAAAACGTACGTTGCAGTCATCTCTTCCTGCCACTAAGGGTTCGGAGACAGAACAGCTTTTAATCACCCGCTGATGAAGCGTTTTTCTAAAAAGTGTTCAAAGACGCAGGCCTGCTTCATGCCCACTTGCTCCACAGTGGGATTTAACGCTGGTCTTGCGAGCCCTGATCAAAGCTCCAATTGAGCCTCTGGATCAGGTTTTCACTTAAATTCTTGTCTCTTAAAACAGCCCTGCTGCTGGCTTTAACACCCGCTAAGAGGGTAAGTAATTTATCTGCCCTCTCTGTTGCTTCGTCATGCCTTAGAACTCAGGCTGACGGGCAGCTCAGCTGATTTAAGACCAAACCCAGCTTTTATGCCTAAAACATCACGAGCTCTTTTAAATCAAGTATGATATCGTTGGAGGGGTTTCTCCCCCCCCCCCCCC